GTTTTATGTGTGCTGCATATGGTGCGACATAATGCACTTACGGGATCGTAGGCGCAAGACGTGTTTGAAAGACATTACTTCCAAGTATTGTGACTTTTGTAATTTATTCTTATGCAATGACATGGAAAATCGGAAGACATTTTGTTGGAAAGAACTTTACGCTCCAAGAAATATAAAATATTCGTTATATATTTTTGTTGGTTTTATGTTTCTCTTTTAAAAACCTGAATTGCATTATAAATTATAATATTGCATTTCTTTAAATTTTACATTTTTTCAAGAAAATTTTAAAGCGCTATATTTATAAAAAGAAGTCTACATTTTTCTTGGGATATTAAACGTTTTAGATTTATGATGTATTGATAATAGATAATTACGAATAAATTTTCTTGTTATTAAAAATAAGTACCACCAACATCATAATATAAATATTTTTCAAAATTTTGATATATGTTTCTTTCAATTTTATAATAAGTTTAAAATTTAATACTTAATTACTTTTAATCAATTTTTTATCTACAATTATTAATTATTATGTAGTTATAATTACATGTAATAATAATTATTACCTCAATTATTAAAACGGCTAATAGCTTGAATATAACAAAATGATCAAATGAATGCAAATCAGAGATTGGATATAGTTATTTATTAATGTTTAACGAAGAAAAACTTTATTGAAGAAAACTTTGCTTGCGCAACAGCATCCCTTATATAACTTTACAATTGATTATAATGCTAATGTGAAATAAGAGACAATTGTGAAACCGTGAGAATTATTCCTTAATGAATAATTGGATTCATCGATGTAATGAATAAAAATGCCGAAGATTATATCTCCAAAAGAAATTTTTTAATTTTCATTAAAAAGAATATGACAAATCATTTATATTTAAAGAATATGTTGAAATTAAAATAGAAAAAAGAAACTTCAAAGAAATTGATTAACAAATGATTTTTGTTTAATCATACCGAGAATAATAAATCTTATTTATAAAATGAATTGCAAATATTGGAAGAGTATTGAAAAAAATTCATAAAGATATTAATAGCATTTATTAAGACTGAGAATAAGTAAAGAGCAGAGAGAAAACTCTCAGTTCTCCGAAATCGATTATAAAGTATAATTTTCTGTTCTTTCAAGAAATGTGAAATTCAATATTTTAAATTTTCTTAGACATTATTTTTTTTCTCAACTTTAGAAAGTTGTATTTTCTAAATTTCCCTAATTTTACAATTATTCAAGAAATTAGAAACGTAATATATTAGTTTGTATATTATCTAAATCTAAGAAATCTTAGAATGATTATATAAAATTTTAAATCTTTTAAAAAACTTAAATTTTAAAAAAATATAAAATTTTATATCATTTATTTAAAAATATTTTTAAGATTCACGTATGATTATTAATTAATTTAATAATCATATAATGGAAACGAAACGCATATTGATATAATGTCTTGAATACACGTTTGCAATGCGGAAAAATTAATTCTAATTTAAATAATATGTGAGAAAGCAATTAATTAATCCTACCTTTGTATGAAGAAATGCTAGAGATTTGTTCACGTTCTCGATTTTGTGTACTCGCATACGACCATTGTTAGGTTTGGCTAATCGTTCACCAGAGATGATCTCCAACAATTTCAGTAACTTCTTGCCGTCCGCTAGATCCGTGAATAAATCATCTACTTCCATACGTGCCTGCAAAGTGAAAGTAATCGATTCAACGAGTCGCCGGATTCTTTTCTGCGCAGATATTCTAGCGACAACATGAAATAACGTGAGTCATTTTTATAAATATCTTCAATATTATCTAAATATTATTTTTTTCTAATTCTACTAACTAATTTCCAGAACATGAAAAATTATTCATAATTAAAAATATAATATATTCATAAAATAACAAATATAATTTTTTTAACTAGCTAATATTATTAAAATATTTAAAAAAATTATAATACCTTCAATAGAAATGAATTAATCCATTTAGTAAATGTTTTCTTCTGTATATGCAAACGTTCTTCCTGCAAGGCCTTAATACGGCCCTGCTCGAACCTCAACGTATCTTCCCTTTGAGTCATTCTCTTTTGTATACCAGAACCACCCCTGTATTTGTCGATTTTGATCGGTGGATAGCTCGGTATATAATCGAAATTGAAGCTCCTGTTTTGGGGTGCAGCGCCAAGCCCAACGCCGGGCACATACTGCGCCCCTGAAATTAAACATTTTACCAAAATTAGATTTTGAATATAGCATCCTGTTTGAGGATTTAAGAAACACGTGCAGTAAAAATGGAAATTTCTATTTCCATTTCAAAGAGATATTCATAGAAACAGAATATTAGAAAAACTAGGAAAATTTCTAAATTTTTCAATTTTAGATATATTTTAAGACTTTCTTATATCACTTATAATTCTAATATTAATCCTTTTTTTCAATATTAATTTTTTCTAGTTTTTCTTTCTTTATCTATTTCTACTCAAAATTAATTTTAACACAACACAAATATAAATATCAATCATAAATATTTTTGATATATTGATATTGATACTAGGAATTAAATAAATCTCTAATATTACAAAGTATTATATTAATATGTTAGTCATTTATATTATTGCTATCTTAAAAATAAGAAGTTCCTTTATATCAAATATATATTATAAAAAACAAAATATTTCATTTAAGACTAAACTTTAAGACTAAAAATCAAGGAAAACAATTTTATCACTTTACCTCATTCTACAATAGAAAAGCAGTTCTATTAAGATACTAGTTTTTCCACATATGTATACACTAAACAAGCAATTCACATTCGCATACATGTTCATTCGGCTGTTGTTCATTCCTTATAAGACGAAGAAAAATTTATGATACATGCTTGTTCGCTGACGATAGCAACGATAAAGCAGGGACAATAATCTTGTCGAGTCACGAACGCTAGTAAAAAACAAAATGGTTTTACCAGGTAAACGTTATTCGCGCTTGTTCTTTATTTACTTTGCACGCGTTTACTACAATACCGCCCTCTTTTTTCCCTAGTAACCATGTCCACCATTGTACATGGACAACGCGTATTATTAATTTAATTGGCGATTTAATTCATAAATCGCAAAACAAGATTTTTTTTTAAAGTAAAATGATTTAAAATAAAAAGTCGATTATAAATTTAATCATTTTAATTAGTAATTTTAATAAATTTTTAATAATTTTAATTTTAGATTAATTCTTCAATAGTATTTTAGGTTAGGTTATGTAAAACAAATAGTTCATTCCTAAATCACAAATATATGTTAATATTAAAATTTGTTACTAAGAAATTACAATTTTATTTATATATTTTTTAATAATTTTTTGTGGTTATTGATTAAAACTTGAAACTTTGTTTTGATTGTTGATTTATATAAAATTAAAATCGTAAAGAATATTCAAAATTTTAGAACTTTTTAATATTTTTTATTAATTTTATTATTATCTATTAAACCTACTATCTAATAAATTAATATCATAAAAATCAACTGATAATAACTTATCGACCACAAATAAATAATATATCAATAAAATGTATTTTTAATTTTTTCTTCAATAGAATCACAAACCTAATCTTATAAATTTTTCAGCATATAAAACTTGATATAACAATATAATCTTTTAGATTAAATATAGGATGATTAGACAAAAGATTATTTTAGATTATTATGAAGATAAAAACGATTTAATTGAGTCTTTTAAAAACATAGATATCAAAGTTGGATACGTTCAAGTTACAATATATCTTATCGTAATGATATATATCAATAATTCATATTGTCTATTTTATTGAAAAAATTTTTCTGAATAATTTATATTATTTTTTAAGATAAATAAAATGACATTGAAAAATAAAATAATAACGTTGATCATTATTATCTTTTCTACAATTAAATTTTAAAATTGATAATAAAATATATAAAAAATTTTTTTAAAAAAATTTAGCAAAAATATTGTTATTTATTATTTTAAAAGACAAGAAAGAAACGCAAAAGCATATAATATCTGACATGTAAACGAAATTTAACCTAGAACTTCCAGTCTTAGTCATTGAAATCTAACCTAAAATATTCATGAAGATAAATGCAATTAAGATTGTCGTAAATATTTTTTTTTTCAAAGAATTTAATAGAATAAACATTATATATTGAAGAACAAAAGAAAAAAGAAAAATTTAAATGTTTAAGTTTTCAAATGTAGAAAGTAAAGTAGCTACACTAATGGAACAGTAACTTCAGTAGTTAGCTCATGTTTGCGTTGAAAAACGTGCCAATAGACTTTTGCGTGCAAACCGAGAGGGCAATGACAAGAAACTAACATCGTAGATTTGATTAGAGTGCTTAAACCCTTCTCTGTGAAAAGCTGTTCGTTGCGTTTCTAAGCCGCTAGAAACCATGTAACGCGATTGTAACGCGTGCCTGTGTATACGCTTGCAGATTCTTAGAGTAAAATGTCTGCAAACAAAATATACGCGTCGTTTGTGATTTTAAATAAATTTTGTTTCTGAACTGATCAAAAGTTTAAAATATCAAACAAAAAATGTAATTTTTTAGAAATAAATAAGTTATTCATATATTAAATTCTTATTAAATATACTAAATTTTAAATTAACATATAAATATACACAAATAGGTTAGGTAAGAAATGGAATTTGCATGATTATTAAGATTAAAAATAATTTTTAAGATATTTTATAAAGAATTATATAATATAATAAAAAATGGAATTCTTCAAAGTTTATTTTGAAAAAAAATTTAAATTTATAAAAAAAAATTTCAATCTAAATGAAAACAACCTAATGACATATCAATGAAATTTTATAAAATAATTATTTGAAATAGAAATTGAATGTAAATGAAAGGAAACATTTATTACTACAATTTAAGAGTATTGAAAGAAATATTTAATTAAATAATTTTAAAAACATGATTTTTTCTAATATAAATATTTTGATTCGATTCTGATTTAAAGTGAACATAACCAAGTACCGAATTGATTAAATCTAGTCAAATTTCATCAAACTAAACAAACTTTTACTACTTCTATTTAAAAATATTCTTAAAAGTTATTCAAACATTAAAAGATACTCCATCGAAAACATTTGATAGAATCCAGCTACGAATAACCTAAGTCGACGAACGTCTAATCAACAAACGACACTCCTTGAGGTCTAATTACATGGAATGCATGACAGAACATCGATAGATAATCTATCTACGCAGATAATCCCGTATACAGGTACAGTTATTTTCAGATCGCCCTATCTCACATGAATGCTTTGTAATATTTTTTTCAATAAAAGAATTTTAAAATATTTATCTGAATTAATTTATAACTAATATTTTTAATCAAGAATTAATTAAAAATTCAAACATATTTTATTTAAACTCCATGACTTATTAATTCAATTACAAATTGAATAATTACTATTCTAATTTAACATACCGTTATAATAACTGTGTGACATGGCGCTCTTCTTATTTTAATAATCGTCTATCCCCTCTATCCACTGTGTTAACATGACGATTTTATTGAAATATTTTCGTTCGAAAAAATAAGATTTTAATGATAATGATAACAAGTATGAGAGAAATCAAAAACGTTTAAACGTCTACGAATGGCGACACTGAACTGATTCAGCTGTTAGCCCAAGACTACTGACTGTCAGGATTCTTATCGCATATTGCGAGTATGTTGTGTCCACTATTCGTTTATGTAGTAGAAACGAAATATGAGCGTATACATTTTGTATACACATGATACTTTAATCAATTTACAGCATAATACATGAACTTTATCAAAATGTTTAAATTAATATAAGTTAATTATGTATATGCAGTATTATTTTTTTATTATGTACATTATATATATATAGTAACAATTATATCTTTGAATATTAAATATTTATAATATTGAATAATTTATATTATATTCTTTTATATATAATTTTCTAATCAAAATAAATATAAAATATGCTCTTAAATAAAAATAAATCAATTTTGTCTGGTGTAATATGAAATAATAAGTAATAATTTAGTGATAATTTATTTATTGGCTAACATCGTGAATTTTTATGTCTTTTCAAAATTCTAATACGTCTAATAATTGATAATAATGATAATGATAAATTGATATTGATAATATTTTTCTAATATTGTAATTATATATATATATATATAATACATACGATATACGTATAATATAATATATACGATACATTTATGAAATTTAGATATGAATTGTTTTCGAGTTGATTAGATGATCATATAAACTATAATACAATTATGCAGTTGCGCATGGAATATTTTTATAAAGATGCAGACTGTACAATATACATATTAGAATAAAATTTGCATAAATTAATCGATATAAGATCATGATAAAGAAATTAGAACAACTTTTAATGAATGAATTCATGAATGTAGTTTGCATCTTGTTAAGAGTACAAATTTTAAAATTTTTATAATTTTTTATTTGTTATGTTTTAAATTCAATATTATAAAGAAAAACGAATCATTTAAAATGACGAAATCATCTGATGTCATGAGATAAAAATACATTAAGTAAATACACTTTTATAGTATTAACTTGTCGTCACCTTGTGATATAACTGCACAAACATATAGAATTATTAACATGTTCATCAATGTGGCAGAAAATAATTACAAAAATATAAATGTAGATATTAAAGCAAAAAAGTATTCGATTCTCTTAATCATGTGGAATATTTAATATTTATATTTAATATTTATTATGTATGTATTTAGTGCATTTTCTTATTTTTAATATTAGAAAACTTGTTGACATTCATAAATATCTGCTACAGACAAGAACTTTAGAATTCAAAAATGTTTTTAATTGGCTCATCAGCATCTTCAATATTTATCAACATTTGTCTACATTCGTTAACATTTTTAATATTTGCTACTATCAATATTTTCAACAATGAATGTCATTTTTCTATAGTTTTCAACATTATTAATGTTTCAATATCTATCAACATTTTCAATTGTATCAAAATTGAACAATTTCAAATTCTGTATTTCCAGAATTTTCAATATCTTTGATATTTCACTGTAATCGTTATTTTTACAAATAACCTTTCAAATATATTATAATAACCTATAATCTAAATTCCGATTACTGATACCAAATATCAACTAAAAAACATCTTACGTTTAAAAAGTGAACTTGCTGACGTTAAATTATTTCGTATATCAGACGGATTATCTGACAAACTGGTAGTGACATTGATTTATGGATCCATCTTACTACTACTTCTTCTTTTGATAACATTGATGTTGATGAGAAAAAAGAAAAGAGAAGAAATAAAATACATATGAAAAAAAATATTTTCATCGTTAAATTAAGAATTATATTATTTATTTAATTATTACTTATTTATAATATGCATATATTTTTTCAATCATTATTTACTTTCAACTAATCGTTCACACGAAACAGAAAGTAAAACGAAATTCAAGATCTATTATTTTTTTTTCATTTCTCGTAAAAAATTAATTACATTTATAAATTTTAAGGAGAAATTTATGAATTAATTTAAGCTTAATTACTTCCTTCTTGATGTTTATATGCTACATCAATTTTCACTCGAATTAACTTTCATCGTTCAGCTTCGATTGCAATAGACAGTATATGAACTCGTTTATTCGGCCAATGAATAGGAAGTTCGAGGTTTAACCGGAAGTACGCTGCATGCTCCACACCATTATTAGAAAAACATTTCAATGAATTACAATACATTCAAACATAAAAATCGACAGTTTCTTGCAATCGATTGAAAATATAATAAATCTTTAACATAGATTTTTCAATCTCAAAGAGCTTTAGTTATTTAAACTAATAATCAATTTTTAAAATTAGAAAAATAAATACTTTTTTTATGCGTAAAATCCATCTATAAATTCATCCTATTTCCTAAATTCCTAAATTCCATCTATAACTAACTAATTAATACTCGAAATAAATAAATAATTTTTTTTACTTTACAAAGAAAAAATTTCTAAATTATTAATGAATATAAAATAAACAATTGTTAAATAATAATTAAAATCTTAATTATTGAACATTTATATTGTCAAAATTTTAATGAAACCTTATTAACAAGATTATAAAAAATAAAATATATGAAATAGTTAAAAAAAAAAAAAAAGAAAAAAGAAAGAAAAAAAACAAACTAAATGAAAACAAAGCGTTTGACGAACTTAGAACATGGCTGATCATTGCCAGGAAGTACGAAATTGCCCCGGAAATACGGTATATGCAACGATGGGTTGAGAAGACTATGGCAGAGGAGACCAGGTGAAATCTGAACCGTATTATTATCGAGACTCGTCTCAACTCATGTCAGCTCGAAAAGAGACACCAACGTTCTATTGACACTGATAGCTCGTGCAAACATTCATCCGGCGTACTACACGCGTGTACGCGTCAAAGGGAAAAGAAATAAAGGATGTGGCAAGCTTTAGTAAGTTCAAACGATATGACGACATGTCTATATTTGGGCATCAACTAATACCGATATGAACGAGTCACTCCAACAATTTTCTGCTATTCAATAATACTTATTGTCAATTAAATATTTTTTTGACTATGAATTCCGATATTAAATATTATTAAAATCGATAATTAGATTATTTAATAAAATATTCTTATATTCAATTTTTTATTCATAGAATAAGTAAGTTCCATGTTAAGATTAACTATTGAAGAAAGAAAAAAAAAATCCCTAGAATTGAAATAATATATATCATAAATAATGTTATGTATGTGATATAAGAATGATCAAAGTTTATAATTACTTTAATATTCTTTTTAGAGATTTAACTATATATATTAGATTTAACTATATATATAAGATATTAGAAATAAAGAAATAATACTATTATATTTTTTATTCTTTAAAGAGATATGATTATATATATGATATATTAAAATTATTAACATAGAAATTATATATTATTTAAAATTTATATTGTAAGATTGAAAAAAAATTTGATGAATTTTTATTTTATTAATAACAAGATCATAAAATGTTAATTGAATAAAGAATTCAGCGAACTGGAAGAAATATAATCTTTTTTTACAATATACCATATATGTGCCCTTCGTTCACTGGTTAGTATAACAGTTTCTTACCAGAAATGCTTTTTTATTATAGGAAGTATATAAAACTATACTGTTACCGTATAAATGAATTTAAAATACTAAATTATATATTATATTTGAAAATATAATAACAATAAAAAAACATCAATAAAATATTATAAAAAAAACAAATCGAATACATAATCTTTGAATAAATTAAATAATATTATTTAACTCTACTATTCAAGAGAATAACAATAATAACTTAATTAGAACTTGAAGCTGTTTTTGTTTTTGAGAGATAATGATGTTATTTGACATAATTCTATTTTAATTTAGAAATGAAATCAGTTCTTGGAATAACGTTTATGATCTCAATCTTGTATAATATTACTAGCATTGAATCATATAATTACTGATAAGCTAAAAGTGAGAATAAAAATGCAGTGTGATTGCTTTGCTTTGCATAATAGTTTTGAAACGGTGTAACTGATTATTTTTAACATTTAAATCACTAATTAGTCACACTACTAAAGTTATCGAACAATTATTCATATCACTTTTACATAAAATAGTTACTACATAATTTTTTTGTTTTACTAGAAGATAATTTTTTATATATAAAGTAATTACAAAAATAATATAAATGTATTTAATATTTACATAATTGTAAAATGTTTCATCGCAACTAGTACTATACTATAGCTGTACTTTATTTAATCAGTCGACAGTTGTTAATCCAGATGACATCATTAGTTTCTTGGAAATTTGCACATATTGTAGACATTTAATTTTAATTTCATGGTATTATGATGTGCAAGCTTGATAATTGAAAAATGGCGCCGTGATATTTGGTGAAATGACACGAAAAATTATTTTCGATTCATTTTTATTTTCATTCCTTACTTGAGATACAATTTTATTTGAATTTTAAAATTTAAATACTTTAAGAAAAAATCACATACGAAATTGTAACATTTATATATGTAATGATTTATTTATTACGAATTTCATAATCATTCAAATTTTTACTCAATTAAGAAATAAAGATCTCGCCACAGAAAAATACTTATTTTTATTTTACAATAATGGCATAATGAAAAGTAATTATTTTATACGATTTCTCACATCATATCATTAATATTCATCATTAAATAAAAAAAAAAAAGGAAAAAAAAAGCAAATCATATTCAATTCAATAAACGGAATTCATAATAATTTATTTTTGGAAAAGAATTTTATACAAGAATTATATTTGCAAATTACTATATATAGTGAATCATTCGATTTCCTTTACAGATATAATTATAAAGTTATAACTTTCATGTAATAGATTGAATAACAAGTTATATTATATAATTATCTGTATTCTCAATTTTGAAAGACAAAAAAAAAAAAGATTTTTCAAAATCAAAGAATTAAATATTTCATTATTTACATCCATATTTTTATTTATTTTATAAAAATGTAATCTAAATTGAATTTTAAAAAGACATATTTATATTTATTTTTATATTTTATTCAGGTTTATTTTTATATATTGGAATATTTTGTATTCATCCATTGTATTTTTTAATCTCATTATCTTAAATATCTCTCAATTACCTTATTATATATGTATATATAATATATATAATTTATGGATCGACCTATCTATATATTACCGAAAACGTGACTGAATAAAACGTATTATTTTACAGAAAATGACTACTTATGTATCATTTTAATCACTAGCGTCATTGTTAGTTGCATTTCTTATCTACGCAACATCATAGTTTGCGGTGTCTTTTGTAACTTTCGCGTAAACTCCCACGCGCTACATTAGGCCACTTTTCATTCTCTACTTAGACGCACGAATTCACCATGGAATTTACGTTACCAGTATATGAATACAATGGACTGGAATTATTCAGATACTTTTCAAATCTCTCGGCTGATTTGAATTTTAATGAACCTGTCTTTTCGAACAGAAATTGTCACATAATATAAAGAGTCTTTCTTTTTTTGTTAGTGCAAAGCGAATTAAATTAGAATTAAATCAGATTGGACACGATCATAGTAATATATTGAATAATAATAAATATAATAATATTAAAAGATAATAAAAATTTGTAATGCTACATATGAAACACCCAATATTTTAAAATTTTATTCGTTGATTTTCTCTTTAATAGTATATTTTTTATCTATATTTTTAATTATGAATACCAGAGGACGTTGCGAACGAAATATTCTTTTCCTTTTAATCAATGACTAAATAATATTTTGAGTGGGAATTCAAATGTGCTTGCATTATACAAATAATTAAATCTTGCATAAAGTAAGTTTTTATGATTACTATGTTTCATTTTCCTTTGATTTTCATGGACTGATTAATTCAAGCATTTATAATAAGGTTAGATGACATAACCTATAAATGAGAAATTTGTTAATCAATAAAACAATAATTTTAATATTTATTAATAATTATATAAATTCATTAGCAAACATTGATTAAAAGATATACTTTTCTTTTTTTTTAAACATTGAAAAACATATCTTTTTTTTATGATAAATTTATTTTATTTTTTTTTCAGTTATACAATTTATTTATTTTCTCATTAATTCTATTTTTTCAAAAAATAGAAACAATAAGAAAATCATTCAATAGAATAAAAAGAAAATATAAATTTATCAATTTCAATTTTAAAAAAAAATTATAAAATATATATTATAAAAATTTATATATTTTAGTTTTCAATTAATTTCATTGAAATTTACTTTCAAAAATATTTGTTTCTTGGAAAATTATATTTATAGTTGGTCCATCAGATTAATTCTTCATTACATCACAATACTAGTGTGATTAATTAGTATGCAGCAAACAGGAATATTACAAGTAGGTCAATATTATCTATTGTAAGATCATTAAATTATTTCTAGAATATCTATTATACAAACTATATTATTTTTTATATTTGACATTTATAGGCATGTCAGGAAAAAGGAAGAAAGTTACTGTGACCATAGAAAAGAAACTAGAAGCTCTATTCAGAATCGATAAAGGTGAGCCAATGAAAAGTGTTGCTGTTGATTTAGGGGTAGGAACATCTACTGTTTCTGATTGGAAAAAGAATCGAAAGGAAATTGAAGAATTTTGTGCTAAAATGGTTTCTAGAGATAGTTTAGGTAATAGAGGAACAATAAAAAAAGCAAAGAATGTAACATTGGATGATGCACTCTATGTATGGTATATTCAAGAACGTGAAAATGGTATACCAGTGTCAGGACCTATTCTTAGAAAAAAGGCTCTTAGTCTCAATAAAAAGCTAGGTGGTGATCCTACTTTTACAGCAAGTGTAGGATGGTTAGGTAGATGGAAAGCCCGTCATGGAATAAGACTAACCCTTTGCAGTGAAAACTTATTAGAAGATGCAGTTACTAATGACAGTTCAAATCAATTAGTGCTAGAAAATGATATTGTAACTGTGTGTTTGTCCACTGAAGATGAAGAGGACATTCAAAATACTTTTAATGATAAATGTCATCAAAAAATAACACATATAAATCATCTTGAAGCAGCAGAAATGTTAGAAAAACTAATAAACTATTTTGAACAACAAAGTGATATTTTAAAGAATGATTTAGTGACATTAAGAAATTTACGTGATTATGCATCAAAAAAATATTTATTGACTTTAAAAGAAAAAACATCTACTAATTTTATTAAATAATATTTTCAGTGTATGTTTTTAATTAAATGTAAATAAATTGTGTAAATATATATTTTTTTATTTCATTGAGAATTATATATTGAATATTCATCAATCCTCATCAAATATATTTAATTTAATCTTTAATTCAATATAAATTTATTAGTGTTTACTTCAAAATTAAATAACTTATCAAGTTTTATGTTTACTTTTAAGTATTATCTTTAAATCTTTCTTTAAGAAATTTAAATTACTATATTAATATTTATTACAATATGCTATGTAAAATAATAAACAATAATCTTAATTCAAATTCTAACATTTTTTCTCTAAATTAATTCCTTTCAATTCCTTAAGCATTAAATAATAATGAAATAATTATTCAAGTTTCTCTTTATAATTCTTCGCATTTACTAATAAATAATTCGAAAGAAATAATGACTAACAAATAGTTTTATGTGATTGTTATATATCCCTATTGTTGTTCAACCTGTTCAGTTTTTACATAATCGAGTTATTTTCAATCAGTTAACTGATTTATCCCTCTTTTTTTTCTGCTTAACATTATTATAATTATCTAATCAATTTAATTAAGATATAATAATTAAGATTTTGGGGTAAGTACTCTTATTGATTTTTTTTATCGCACATTCTATCATTCATCTAAATCGAATATTAAAACAAGAAAATCTTGATGAAATCAGTGATTGCAATTTCCGCTCTGTCGCTCTGATTCGCTCGACAAATTTCTAAGTCTACCTATGCACCTCTAACGGATCATTGAATTTTAACAAAACTGCATTACGTTTACTACGTGCTGTTGGAAAAACTGCGATCGATGAAATTCACCGTTAGAGAGTATAAAGATATTATAAATTGTATATTCTTTCGAGCGGAAATCGAAACGGATCATTACATCACTGTTATGCGAAAAAAAATGTGTATTACAAAGATATATTTATTTTAACAATCAAAAAAATTTTCTCTGATAATTTTTTAGATTGTTAAAAAAAAAATATCTCTTAAAAATAAGCAAGATATTCAAGACTGATTAAAGATTATTCAATCTTGTATAATATATACAATATATATATATAATATATATATTATATATAAATTATATACAATATATATATAATTTAAATCTATTAAGAATATTTAAGAAATAATATTGTTGCTAAAATTATAAAAAATAAAAAATTATAAAAATATATGAAGTTGTTTACCATAAAATAAGATTATTTATTGATAAGACGAAGAAGAAGTTTTCGAATATATTATAAAGAAACTACTAAATACATTATGAAGATTCTATCAAATTAGAGAAGAAATGACCATCAAATAAAATGAACGGTGAAAAGTGAAATGAAATCCAATTGGTATAATTTTTCTATTTGATTATGGAAAAAAATACATTGAATGATAATGAACTGTTGCGCCATATTGGCTAATGAAATTCGAATGACGTTATTGATCAAAATGATTTTTACGTTCTTATTTAATAAATAATAATAATTTAATTAAATTATGAAAGAAATGTTCTTCAAAAAATAAAAAATAGAATGCAAAAATATATAAATGCAATAAGAAAGTTGGAAAAATCCATGACTATTTAATAATTTTCATTATTCTCTTTGCATTGTTGAGGTTATCTCGAATATACGACCAAGAATAAGCATTGAATAATAATTTCACGCTACTAGGTTACAGATAGCAATGCTACAGTTAACCAATTGAAAACTATTTATTCCTTTATCTTATCGTCATTCCTGCATTAATTATACGGAATCTTAAACGATTTAGACACCTATTTATTTGTTTATTTTTTTGTATCATTTTATCATTTCTTTTACTTTTATATTAAGATTTATATTAAGATTTTTTTACATTATCACATAATAATATATTTCGAAATATTATTTTATTATTACATTTTAATAGAACTATATTTATAATATATCTATTTTAAATAAATTTTATAAGAATATTTTTTTCATAATATTCTTTTTTTCAAAGAATATTTCAAATATTTAAATAAAACAAATATCCTATATATATTTTTTAATTTTGTCTAAATTTAATAATTAATGAAAATTTGTCATTTAACTTTTGAAACATTTTCTATTGTATTGAATAATGATTCCTGTAGTGACGTCAGAGGTGTATAGAAAGTTGACAAGAAAAATCTACATTCCTGCATGCGTTCTGGTAGTTTTACATTCACCATTCGCGCCGTGACCATCTACTAGAGTCTAGAAGAGTCCAACCGCCCCGTATATCCACCAGATAAAACTTTGTTCCTTTATATCGTATTCTGTTAACGCGTTCCGACGGGTCACGTATGGAGAACTTACAACTAATTACGCCAATGAAAGATGTCGTTCAAAATATATGACTAAAATTTATCTCTCGTTTTTATGTTATTTGAATAAAAAAATTGAACTAAACAACTATACGAAAAATAAAAACAATTTGTGAAAGATGATATAAATTTCGAAATCACTAAATCTGAATGAACTAGTACATGTCAAATTATATTCTATTCTATTTTTTTATAGAGAGAAAGCTTATTTTAAAACTTTAAAAATTTAAAGAAATATAAAAATATAATTTTATCTATAAAAAGTTTCAAAAAAAAATTAAAATACAATTTATATTATTAGCTTGAAAAAAATAAGCCACAACTATTCTATATTTCATTATTCGTATATTCTAAATTCCTAGTTTTCTCTAGTTGCATAGTATTTCTCCTACCATCGTGCAATTTGAAATAGATTGATAATAATGACGATATTTGAAACAATAATATAGCATGCAAAAATTTTTTTCTAGTACTTATTTGTAAATGCATGATTGACGGAACGTAGGAATAACGCCTTAAGCCTTGAAGTATGTAACCGAAGTCTTGGGTTATTCGCTCGTCTTGGGTTCCAGGACTTGCCAAGGATCTTTTTCTTTGTCTTTTTCTTTCTCTCTTCTCCTCTTCTTCGCGTCTGCTACACGCGATGAACGAAAAAAATAGAGAGGAAAGGGGACTTTTAGAGCGGTCCAGCAACTCCCCCAGAAAATATGTGCGCCCGCGCGCACATATGAGAAATGTATGTTTCGTTGGTAATACTCTAATATTGTATAGCGATGGGAATGATATACTTGTGTTTCATATGGATTTAATAATTAAAATTGGTTTAAATTAATTATATAATACATTATGTATTACATAAAATACATTATGTAATATATATGAAATTATTGAAATGTAAAAATTACTGTTTGATTTGGAAAGAATTATACATAGAATATACATAGAATATACATAACAATGTATTATACACATTGCTTGTAAATAATTCCTATGTAAAGTCACATAATGATTCATATGATCATGTATCGTTGTTCTTAAGACATTTCATTTTCCATTCCGTTTTTTTTATGTTAAATATTTAATAATTATGTTTTATAAAATTCGGTCATTCAGGAAGTATAACCTTGAAATGACTGAGTCTTTCTTTTCAAAGGAATAAGTGTACAAACTGGACGATATTTAATCTGTGCTTGCATTTGCATAATGAATGTTCAAATCAAGTATTTTTAAATCTATTTTAATCACATCACGCAAATACAATGTTTCGAAAGTAATATTTTTTTATACCTAATAATTTTTTCGATCGATAGTTTATAAATTTCACAATTCTGTTTGAAAATTTGTCATCTATCAATCTATATTGTGTAATAAATTAAATCAATTTTTTTCAAAAATAATACTTCTAAATATTACAAACTATTTTTATTAATATCTTCTTCTATTAAATAATATGATTCCTTTTATAATTCATTTGATTACATAACCTAACATATATTTATATTTTTTATATTTTCATATTTCTATTTTCAATTATATTAAAAACAAATTCATCATATTAATTTTAAATTAAAATTATATCTAACTATCTAAATACTATTTTCCATATTGCATTCCAAACAAATTTACCTACAAAAGGTCAATCCCATCGCTAACTTCACGCATACGACTTTCGCCGCGAGACGCTCATGGAAAGGGACCACTAGTAGAGAGAACGCAAAAAGAACTAATGGTGGGGATAAAGGGAGAGGAGGCAGGAAAAACGACTCTCAGAAAGAGAGGCAATGATAGGGAAGAAGTGAGAAAGAAAGAAAAAACGACATCCATTGAGAATTACGGTATTCGTCGACTAGAGGAACGGACCGATGGTCGAGTGTTGAAGCTTGGAGGGGCTCATTAGAAACTCGAGGCAGTACGATGGCGCGCGCGCGTAATATTATTTCCTCGTGGAACGTAGGGGCTAATGCTGATCAAATGCCGGGTACCGTTCGGGAAAGGATCGAAGTCCGCTCCAATTTCACGTGCAACGACACCAGCGCCCCGTTATGATCGTTTCGCTTGAACACAGAGAACTTGTTCCGACGACATGGGGGGAAAAAGAAAATCTCCACCGGTCTGCACTCCCTTCTATGAATACAAGTCCGCGCGCGCGCGCGTGGTTTTCCAGCTGTCCGTCGAGCGACCTTTACAAACGACCAGTTCTCCTCCGCGAGGAATTCTGACCTCGTAACGGAATGACTGTACACAAACGCACACGTGATAATGCTTTTCAAAGAATAGAGGTATTGGTAATAGAGACATCTTCGGGAAGAAATCAATATCGAGTTTTTCATTATAAAATAAAATCGATTAAATTCAACTTTTAAATTCATGAAACAGAAGGAAATATATGAAAATATCGCAATTAATTTTAATTGTAAAATTACTGATTGAAATTAAATAAAAAAAGATATTTCAAAGCAATAGTTCTTAATTATTTGATATTATTATATCTATATCAATAAAATAAGAAAAAAATAAAATAAAGAAATTAAATTAAATTATATAAAAAAAAAACTTTTGAAAATACTAATTATGATATAAATAGTGTATATCACAATCATTAATATGGAATTACAAGGAAAAATTCTTGAAAGATGAAGTTCAATACGAATGGAATGATGAAACATTTTTGCATGATTTTTAGATATCGAATCCTTTGTTCTGTCTTAAACAGTCTATACATTTTATTTCTAATATTTTTAATCAGTTATTTAATGAAATAATATGAAGAAAACGAAATAAAATAATGATTCTCTACAATATTTAAATTAATAAACAAGAATTAATAAATATATTAAAAAAGTAATGTAAAAAGAATATTCAAAAAAAAAAATTTTTAAATTATTGCGATACTCGTCTTTGCTAATCTCTAAAAAATGAAGGATAATCTTTATAATGCAATAGATTAATTCAATAAGTTCATTCCATAAAGATATGATAAAAAAAAAACTTTAAATAAACAAGAATTTTTGTATACGATGATTTTTTTTTGACGAAACGGATCATTGAATCATTTATATGAAATGTCCCACGTGACCCATCGACCTTTGCGCGCGTAAACTGTGTGTGTCGACTAAACAGTTCAAGGATGATAAACAAATCCGAAACCTTAATTTGGTTAACATGTAACTATAAAATTTTCTTCTTTTCTTTCATTCATTATATGAAATTATTCTTTCTAAGATATGTCTTACAAATATAAATCAAACGGATATGTCGGAATAGATCGTTCAATAAGACACACAGTACGATCAATTGTTTCGTAAAAAGATGATAATTTTTTAAATACAAACCTTTTCGACGTGTATACGAAACTTATCCAAAACGCAAAAACACCTGACGAATCCGTAGGAACACTATGTCAAACACACTTTCTAAACACACTGAATTCACTAAAAAAGCATTTAGTTTTTGTCTTTAGACTTGATATGAAATATAATAAACACACATGCACACGATACGAAAAAAACGCACGCTTCAATTTTGTACTGGCGGTAATGTGAACCGTACCGAGGTCTGCAACAATGCGTTTGCGGCTTCGAACTCCAAGCGGTTCTTCGTCTTAGTTCCCGCCGCCCTTCCACAAGCTGTTCTGAAGTTCCTTCTGGGACTCACCCCACCTCGCTATTCCGGTTGGATCGGCAGCACTTAACAAAGATTGTCGACCAAATCATGCCATCTATGAACAGAGAATAAAATTAGATTTAGTTTTTATTGGCTGATTTGAAAATTTGAATTAAAATTTTTTATTATTTTAATTTAAATTTTTGTGTATTTTATTATATTATTGTTATAAAAAATTTCAAAAATATAATAATTATAAATAATATTTTATATAAATCTATAATTTTATAATTCTATATTCATGATTAAATTTTAATGGAATTCAAATAATATTTTTAAGAATAAATAATTTAAATAATTTATTATTATTTTTATAAATCTTAACAAGAATTTTTTATTTTCATAAATATATTTTCTAATATTTTTAATTTAAAATTATTAATAAATATATATTTTATCACGCAAAATCCAAAATTGATTTAATTTGTGCTAATATTTATTTTGAATGTTAAATCTATATTTCATTTTATATTAAGAAATTAACGATTATTAATAATATATTCAATGAAAGATAATTAAATATCAATCAATGGTATTCATTAATAATTATTGATACACCATAAATATATATATATATTATAACATAACCACAATTAATGCTAACTTCTTCGCAAAGGAGAACATAACCTATCAATTAAATATTTTTTTGTTCAATTCAAAAATAAATGTAAATATATAATATGGCAGATGTAGAAATACTTAATAGTGTTATAAATACAATTGATCATAATACTAAAAAACCAGAACAATTTTTAAGGTAAATATATTTTCAATATTTTTTTATTCTAACCTATATTATTATAAAATAATAACAATAATAATTTTATCTATAGCATACAAAATGAAGTTGCTGTTGATTTTAAAAATTCTCTAAAGCGTTTATATGATTTTACAAAATTAGAAACACAAAGAAACACAAATGCTTTACCAGAACTTGTTACAGAAGGTTTTGATGAAGAACAAATCTGGCAGCAAATTGAATTGCAGAATGAAGGTGAACTTGATTATTTAATTGGAGGTGTTTCTAAATCTTTAGCTGAAAATAAAAAATTGACAATTAGTATAATAAAATCTAAATCTGTATATAATAGTGAAGAAGATTTATCAGAAAAAGAAGAAAAAATAGTAGAAGAAGAAACATCTGAGGATGATGAGGAATTTAAAAGTAATTTAAAAAAACAAAAGAAGGATATAAGAAAAAGAAAAAAAAAATCATCAATAGTAGATGACAAGTTCTTTAAATTAGAAGAACTGGACGAATATTTAACAAAAGAGGAAAAGAAAGAGAAACAAAATGAAAAAAATGAGGAAAAATCTGATGATGAATCTGTAGATTTATTCAATGATCTTTCTGATAATGATGATAAAACCGAAGAAGCAAAATTATTGAAATATGCAGACTTTTTTGATAGTCCAGAAAGTGAAGATGAGAATCCTAATAATTCTATGCAACATAAAGAAACAAATGATGAAGAATTAGAGGAAAATGAATTAATAGATGATAATGAATTACTGGAATCACTAGATAGTGATTCAAATGATGAAATAGATATTGATAATGAAATGGAAGAAAAAAGATCTTCCAAAAAGAAAGTTACATTTAATCTTACAAATGATTCTGATGAAACGGATAGTTTAGAAAATAAAAATATCAATAAAAATGTTGATGTAGAAATTAAATCTTCTTTAGAAATGCGACAAGAGAGATTAAAAAATAAAATTGGAAAATTAGAAGAAGAAGCTCTTGCAGAGAAACCTTGGCAATTGAAGGGTGAAGTTAGTGCATCAAATAGACCACAGAATTCTTTACTAGAAGAATTCGTGGAATTTGATATTACAACTAGACCTCCACCTGTGATTACTGAACAAACAACACTTAAATTAGAAGATATAATTAAGCAAAGGATAAAGGACAAAGCTTGGGATGATGTTCAAAAAAAATTCAAACCAGTTGAAACTCCTTTAGAATACAAGAAAAAGTTGATTTTGAATCAAGAAAAAAGTAAAGAAAGTTTATCTCAAGTTTATGAAAATGAGTATCTCAAACAGAAGGAAGCTTTAAATCCAGATAATACTGAAAAGGAAGAAGAAGAACCAAAATTGCATACGGAAATTCGCGAAATGATGCATTCCGTGTTTTCCAAGTTAGATGCTTTGTCTAATTTCCATTATACACCAAAACAGGTATAACTATTATTAAAAGAAAAATTCTTTTATATGGCAATTTTTTATATTTTTATTAATAATTAATATTGCATTTTTTTTTTTAGGTTCAACCAGAGATTAAAATTATTAATAATATGCCTGCAATTAATATGGAAGAAGTAGCCCCAATCGGAATGAGTGATGCTGCCTTATTAGCTCCAGAAGAAATTAAAGGTATGTTTAATAAAAAGAATCGAATAATAAATTTAAATATACATATTTATATAAAATTTAATTATATTTTTTATTTTTTCAGCGAAACCGCGAGGCGATTTGATTGGTAAAGCAGAAAGAACTAAAACGGATATGAAACGTGAACGAAGACGTAAAAAGATGAGACAACGTGCGCGGCAACAAGCTATAGAGAAAAAGGAGAAATTGAATGCAATCAAACCGGGTATTGCTAAGAAATATAAGAAAGAAAAGACGACAGAATTGGCAAAAAAATTAAGTAAAAATCGAAATATTATAAGAATGGACGAGTCAAGTTTCAAAGCTCCGAAAACTTCGACAGCCTTTTTCACTCAACTACAAGATGAAGTGAAAAGTCACATTAAAGCAAAAATTAATACAGATACTAAGAAAAAACAAAAGAATATTCTATCTGCAAAAAAATTAAAATTATAATTTTTGTACAAATATTTAAATACAAATTAAAGATATTGTATAATTGATATTTAATTTCTTGCAACCTATTCTTTTTTTCATTACATAAAATGTAATAAGTAAATAAGTTCATTTTATACAGATTTTTTCTTTAAAACAAAGATACTTTTTATAACATATTTTTAATAAAAATGAGAAAAGAATAATCTTAATATTAAAAAGGAGAAAGGATTATAGAATGCTTCACAAGTATGTTTTGAAGTTTAATCAATTAATTGTGTTATACATATTGATGCCTTCGTCGACTTCAATATGTTAATTATTGTCAGTAATCGTAGCTACTTTCGACAAAGGATGATTAAAAAGAATTATATGTGTAATGTAAATTTTTATATATATTAGTGACAAATGTTCCCAATTCATCATGATATGCTGCAACTGTTCTTTCGTTCTACTTAATAAGAATTTGCTAAACATGTACATCTACAATGCACTAAATCACACGCGGTTACTTATAAATGCAATTATGCTTTTGTATGTGTAACATTATCTATATTTTCTTTAGAAATATCTAAAAATGGTGTTTGCCTTTTTTGTTTGCACAGAGAAGCAAAGTGGATTACATATAACTTTTTGTACATTATTGTTGTTGGTGAATTCAAACAATGTTTTTCGTTCAGCGTCGATTTTGACGATTGCACTATTTATAATTACAAAGATCTAAAATAAAATAACTAAGCTAATCTTAAAAATCTAATCATAAGCTGGTATTAAAATTACCATGATTTATGTTTAAGTTTGATTAAGAAATTTTTAAAAATACTTTGTTTTATTTTTGTTTTTTTCTTATCATTTGAATGTATTTTTCTAAATGTTTATCGAAATATGCTAGTTTCCTCTCTGAAATAAAATCGCTACGTAAAAAAGGAGAGAAATTACTCTCTATTACTTATTAATAAGCACAGATGAGGCGTTAAAATTCTATAAAAATGTAAAGTAATAATAATCATACAAAATACATATAATCCGATACATTTTCATTTGAAATCTTAATGAAAAATCACTTTTTCTTAAACAATTACAAATCTTACACGCATTTTTTGCCTTTTCTTTTTTATCCAAAATTTTATACATATACTTACATTCATTTAACAACAATTCAATGAAACTTCATATGAAACTCTCTATTATCTTCGTTCTATCGTTCTTGAAACTTCATATACAATTTAAATATAACTTACGTTACTATAATTGCATTTTTTTTTTTTAACAGTGAGAAGAGTTAAAAAGTCGTTTCTTAATTTACACTGTCTTTTTTTAAATTGTTTTTTCTATTTTAAAATTAAATCAATAGAAAAAAATGATAAAAAAAAGAATTTTACAATCATTCGTTCAATACTAATCTATATTTTAATTACAAGAAAAAAAAAGAGAAAAATTTAAAAATATAAATTAATTAATTTCCTGTTGAAAATGATTTTATTCTGTTATTTGTCATATCAAATGCTAAAAACCTCATATTTCGTTAAAAGCTTTCTAAATTTCATCAAATGATCCATCTGTGCGTATTATAAGTTTCCACTTTATATATTCTACTTTTTAAATAGAACATTTAATGGCACTTTCGCAAAATGATATTCACGAATTTTGAATAATTTAATTGCGCAAACTTTGATACGGTTATTAAAATCGTACTGTAAACCAATAAAATAGAAACTTCTCGCAAAACGGAAGCACTCATAAATTAATTATAAAAGTCAGATGAATCTATGGTAAATTAGTCAATTCAATTAAAGTTTATGTGTGAGATGCTCTGATTGGCGAATTCTCATATCACCATTAAATGCTGAAGTAAGAGTGATTTACGAAACAATCCTTTTATCAATGAAATTCGAACCTTAAAGCTCTTTTAAGGTAGATGTTTATCTTCCATATTATTTTGTTGTCGCTACTCGAAATTAGTATTAAACATATTTAATTCCTCGAAACCAGATGCTCCACCTTGATCTTGTAGCATCTGTAACATATCTGATAATTCTTGAGGTTGCGTGCCAGGTCCACCTTGAGAAGGATGAGGTTGTTGTGCTTGTCCAGTCACTTGAGGATTTGATTGTCCACCGTCTTGTTGAGGCGTTTGATGTTGCTGGCTTTGCCATCCCCACATGCCTAAAAAATTATTTATTTTTTTATTCTTATTGTTAAGATTAAATAAAACGAATATTTAGATAAATAATTTTTTATTTAAATTAAAATTACCAGGGTTATTAGGTACTGTTGTGACTGCATGATATTGCGTAGCCGGTGTTCTAGCACCGCTACTTAATTGAGTATAAGTTGGTCCATTTGGTGACCTCGAAGGACTTAATTGATTGTACTGATATCCTTCTGTTACAGGTTGCTAATATAATAAATAATATTATAAAGTCATTTTCCATAATATTTTTTAAACATAATTTAGATTATTATTATATATTTACCTGTCTTCCAATAGCCCATGCTTGTTGTACTGGAGTTGGCGATGTATTAGCTGGTTTTTGAATTCTACTTAAAACTGATGAAGATGCACTTTGCTGACCAGGTGAGCCGTAAGCTATAGGCGATTGTGTTGTTTCATATCCCTGATAAACATTTTGTGTACTGGACGGCCTAGGCTGCTGGGGACCTAATGAATTTATGATTATATTAATGTAATATAATTGTAAACTTAATAATAATAACAGTAATGACAAAAAATATAAAATTTACCACATTATTATTACATTGTATAATATTTTGTATATTATTAGTTTAATGTATTAAATAATTTACCAGCTGTAGCAACAGTTGCTGGATGTTGCATCATATGATGCCCAGAATAAAGAGGATCCCTAGCAGGATGTCTTTGAAGGGAATAATCCAAACCAGGTTGTCCATAAGCAGGTACAGCTTCATTTTCTGTCTGACCATCACTACCAGGATGGAATGACCTTGAAATCAAAATGATACAAATGATTTGATTTATTATTTTCGCTTTTTATTTAACACGATCACAATTCTTCAAATCATACATGATATAGAAAAATTTTAATTTTTATAAAATTTAATAAAGAAAATAAGTAAGAAAAATAAGGATGAAGTGGTCGTGTTAAAATTGAAGAATACATCTGCATAATACAAAATAAAAGAAATAAACTATTTAATATCCGGTATAACGGATTCATACTTGGCATGTGTATTTGTGCAGACGATATATTCAACGTCATCATTGTACGGATTTAAAAATGCAAATGCAGACGTCCTTAACCATACCCAGTCACGATTTTTGGCTCGAAATCTATACATTACAGACACCACTTGTCCTTTCAGCTTTAATACTGTAACAATAGATACCTATTAACAATAAGGAACATGCGTACAATTAATTTTCATTCTTTTGAGAAATTTTTACCTTGTTCGAAACTTTCTCGCATATGCGTTAAATCCTCAGGATGAAAGAATTCGTAGCACGGATGACCTAAGAGCTCGGAAGGTGTGTACCCTAAAATTCCTCCGACTCTTTGGTCTACAAAGGTAAATTTACCTTCTGCTGAATGACGTGAAATAAATTCTGAAACATCAGAGAATGAGAATTAATTAATCTTGATTTAAAATATTCTTGTTTGATAATGAGGACACTTCATACTTACCGTTATTGCTATTTGAACCCGCTAAATCGCTACTATTTGGCGTGCTAGTGACCTGTAGTCGCCCAATGGCAACCAGACAGCAGTGACTGCTAACATTCTCGTCTGTAACTACACCATCAGGTCCAACTGGAACACCGGCAGCCTCTCTATCAGCTAGTCCCATACCTGGTACACATGGGGGAACAAAATCACCTACAGCGTAAAACGATAAATCAGTCCATGGTTCCTCATAATCGATAAATGATTATGATTTACATGCTGCTATATATATGGTATTTAAGATGGATGGAATCGGAACATTGATAATTATTCTACTTCAATATTAATTAGCAATATTTTTTCAAATTTTACATCAGATAATTTTATAGACAATTTCTATCCATCTTGAAATTATCTTAATTCTTTAAATATAAATTCTCTGAAAAATTTTCCTTAAAATAGTATTTCGAAGCGCTCGATGGCGATGGAATAATAATGTAATAAATCTATTTAACTTTAAAAATAACTCTTCTCGTGATTCTATATGATTATGTACAATCAAAATAAAAATTTCTGGTAAACATTTCTATTAAACACGTGTATAAAATTTACAATCAATTTTAACGATTATTTTAAATTATTTCTTCCAAGTAAAAAATCTTTCTCGAAGATTACTTTTACAAATAGAATATTACCGCAAAAACTCGACGAGAGAATAAAATTCAAAAGAGTTAGAGTCGAAGACGGAAACGTGCGAAAATCGTTCGCATCGTTATTATGCATCGGGGTCCGCGGATAAGGTATACGAATTCCCTGTCTCGACATAGTTTATCGGTATTCCAGCCATTCTTGTCGGCTGTTAGGTCAAGACGTTTCCATTCATTCTTTATAAACCGATCATACTATCCGTGCTCGCCACCGAGTGCCGGCCCCCTTAATTTATAGTACAAACGTCGTTATCCTCGTGTATTCTACGAAGCCGCCTGGTTCGTTCATATTCTTGGTGCACGCCGACGTCTCCCTCGGCTTTAAAATAGAAAGTTGGCGCTACGTCTCGCGCGCGGCCATCAACAGACCGGGACCCGTTATACGTTGACGACGTTATGTACATCATCATCCTCATCATTCGGAACAAGGTAGATCGATGCCGCGACCCGTATCGAACTTACCGTTTGGGGGCCAGCTTTTGATGTACCCTGTACAATGAACCACCGCGTAATTTTGGCCATCGCGGGCCGGTGGACCGAGCGAATTCCTCTGTTTTACGTGATGGAGGCCATGAGCGGCCGCCATGTCGCCTGTCGTCTGCATGTTGCCCACCTTCATGCGACAAATGAAGCCTCTCCTCGATCCCATGCATAGTCTCATCGATGCTGTGAAGTTAGGTTATGTTAGTTTAACGTAATTTTGGAAATTTGATGATTAATTGAAATATTTGTGATTTATTGGTATTGGTATTCTCCATGATTGTAGAGCATCGATATAATTCAATATAATTAGCTGGTAATTTAAGTGTTATTATTATTATAGTAATTTAGTTATTAGAATTTGATGAATGCGCGATATTAAGAAATTTGATGCAATTTAAAATGAGGCTGGTTCGATCTTAATAATACGATGGAATTCTTCTAGAACAATTTTTTGGAAAAAGAAGGCAAATTTTTAAAAAACAAAAAAAATATACTTACACTGTCCTTCCTTTTTTACTGTCCCCGTCTTCAGATCCAGCACTCTGCCTCCATTTTCCGGCTCGGCACCGCTCAATTGTTCCTTCACTTTCTCTGTGTCGTCCGGATGAACCTGTGAATAGAGGCTGGTGCCGTACCAATCATTTTGTGTGTAGTTCAAAACTGGCGCCACAGAATCGGATACGTAGATGATCGTTCCGCTATTGCAGCTGACTACGAACAGAAAGCCATCCGCTGCTTCGAGAATCAGGTGTTTCAACTCTTGATCGGTGAGGAAGGAGGGTTTGTACGCGCCATCTGAGCTTGTGTTTCCGGTTCCTAAAATAGAACAGTTTTGTTTTAATTTATGCCAATTGAAAAGAGAATTTCATATTTTTCTTTATATTTATTTAATTTTTATATATTAATTTTTATATATTTATTTAATTTTTATATATTAATTTTTATATATTTATTTAATTTTTATAATTGGGAGATTTGGTTATTTAATTTGTTTCGATTTAAAATTAATTCTTACGGTTTTCAATATCGATGCAACTTTAATTTTAAATTGATCTTTTTAATAAAAAAAAAAAAAAAAAAAAATGACTATTAATTTCGTGCTTTCCATTTCTTCTGTTTCACAGAGATTGAACTTTTCTACGTTTGACGTCCGTATCGATCGAGTGATCTACCCGATTGTCCGACATCGAATGCACATGTAACGAGGAACACTTTTCAAGCGAAACGAATGCTTGTTCAGGGATACGTGTTACTACTTCTTCACGTGTAGACTGGACATCTTCTTTTTTCAAGTGTGCCCAGTTTAATGAAATCTCATGCTGAGAATAATAATATCTATTCAGAAGAGTAGAATCCTAAGATTTTATTAAACGACTGGTTACAAGAATTTTAAAAATCGATATCGATTTTTAACACGCTCAATTAAAAATCAGATCAAATAGATAATTAAAAAAAATAATCAATCACCGTAGTTTCAAACCATCAAACCAATTCACGTTCATTTCAACATTTGTTCAAAACAAAATACTCACCGATTATCACATTAATTCGAATAATCATCGAAAATCCGTTGAAAATATTCGGTACACGAACTTATATTATATTTTCCTTCGAATATCCTTCGAATTCCCATCCAAAAACTTGACAGAACGATAAATTCTTCATCAATTCGCAAATCGGACGATAGATCATCTTCGATCCGCAAAACTTTCAGATCCGGAAGAGAAACAAACAGAAACAAAAACATCCACCCACCCATCCACCCACCCACCCACACACACACACACACAAATAAATCTTTCGACAAATCAACCAACCAACAAACGAACGAACGAACTCAAAGGAGGAAAGAGGGGAGTAGGAAGGGAGAAGGAAGGAGGTACGGTACCAAAAATGAGGACGGGGCAGCTCAGCAGCGTAGGTAACTATCGAGGTGCAAGATCGGAATTGCAAAGCGGACAGGATCCTGCGAGCAAAAGGCAAAAGGCAAGAGAGAGAAAGAGAGAGAGAGAGAGAGAGAAGGGAGAAGGAGAGAAAAGAGAGGGAGGGAGGGGGCGATGCGATCTTTACCCCGATATACGGAGAAATTCCGGGAAGAGGTACTTTAACGACTTCCAAACAAGATCTATGGAAGACCCCGGGTGACCTTCGTTACCATTACCTTCCACGTAGTGGAACGGTCTTTCGATGGACATTAATGCCGGCGTGATTCTACTCGATTTCCTTCCATCGAAAGAAGATGCTCCCCTTGACCCATCTAACGATACACGATCCCCGCGTGGCGTCGAGTTTTATTGCGATAAATGTTTTCTTCCGTTTCTTGTTTCTCGTCTAAAGGGTTGATTTTACTTTTGGATTGGGGAGGATGAGAAAGACGGGCTTCTCTTCCTTGGTGTTTTTCTCGTTACGTCGAGGAAGAGAGTTCACGGTGGTGGGAATTTGAGGGGAGCAGTGACTTGTTGATTTATTTTTTTTTATTTTTATCGTTGAAGAAACACGATGAAAAATTTAGGAAAACTTTAAACTTAATGGCGGGTTGGGGACGATTTCCTCGCTTTTCTATTATTTTCTTGTTTTTGTTCTGTAATAAAATTTGGTGTTTAATTGAGTAGAATTTAATTAAAAGATAGGACAATTTGATGGAAGAAAAAAATGTTTATATTGATTGATATATTTGAACGAATAAGTTTAGTTTAAGACGGTCTGAAGTTATATATATAATGTTTGATGTATTAGGTGAAATTTTTATTGCTATAAATTTTAATTGTAAAACAATAAAGTATAATGCATAAAACAATAAAGTATAAAAGGCATGTAATTAATGCATATTTCGTGATTTCGTATTTCTTACAATTAAACACATTATGAAATGTTTATGATGTGATATTTAAAGGAATAATGAAATAGAGAAATTATGATTGGTCATTTATAAATTTACAGACTGACATATCCAAATTGATTGTGATTAATTAAACGAATGAATTAATTTAAAAGGAAAATTAAAAAAAAAAATTTACCAGAGCGTAAATTGTAATTCTAGTTATCATAAAGTTTCATTGGAATTTAATTCTTGTACAGTAGAGACACCGGAAACTGATACGATCTATCGATTCAAGGAAACAATTTTCATTAACCAATCATTCATTAAAAATAAAACTCTAAGAAGAATCAATAAACCCCGTCATTACTCTCTTCTGCTTCTTATAAAATTTCTTCCCTTCGAGACTAATATCTTCGTAGACAGTAATTTACATCTTTAAATTTTCTGTTATCTTGTGAAAAGATATAATTTTACTTTACGAAGGGGTTATAATATTTTACATTAACGTGAATCGATTATAGATTACGAGAGAGGCGTAAGCGGGTACATTTTATCAAGAAACGTAATTTTATGTGAACGTAAATCAATCGTAGTTTATAAAAAAGGCGTATTTCATCGACAACAATCGGTTAACGTCTCTTATACAGACGTAATATTACATCGATAATATTGGTAATCAGTTATGAAAATAGCTTTAGGTCGTAATAGTTATATTATAGTTTTATGTCGTTATAAATTAAACATTTTTCATGACATGACGTAATATTACAAAAGCAAAAATCACCTTTATCTCTGTAAAAAGACATGATCTTGAAATTTACCTCGATGTACGAGTCAATTCTTACAAAAAAAGAAACGCAATTTTAACCACTGTTTGTACCATCTTATATATTCGCAAACACATCAAACCTATGTCGATCAAAATCTCATAAACTCTTAGTTTCAACAAGACTACAATTAGAAAGATTTTATTTAATCAATCGGCCATCAAAGCTACCATTACTTGTAATTATCAATTTGCTGCACATTTAAAAAATTCGAAAATTTTTATTGAAGTAACTACTTTGAAAAAGAAAAGAAAAGAGAAGAAAAGAAATATAAGAAGAGCAGGGAAAAGTGTCTATTAATTATCAATTTGCTGTACATTTACTTAAAAAATTCGAAAATTTTTATTGAAGTAACTATTTTGAAAAAGAAAATTAATTATCAATTTGCTGCGCGTTTACTTAAAAAATTCGAAAATTTTTATTTACTTCGAAAAAGAAAAAAGAGAAGAAATATAAGAAGAATAAGAAAAAGTGCCTACAACTACTAATTATCAATTTTTTGCGTACTTAAAAAAAAACTCTTTAAAAAATTCAAAAATTTTTATTGAAGTAACTACTTTAAAAAAGAAAAGAAAAGAAATATAAGAAGAGCAAGGAAAAGTGTCTACAACTACTAATTATCAATTTGCTGCGTAATTTAAAAAAAAACCTTAAAAAATTCGAAAATTTCTGAAGCAACTACTTTAAAAAAAGAAAAGAAAAGAGAAGAAAAGAAATATAAGAAAAGCAAGGAAAAGTGTCTATTAATTATCAATTTGCTGCGCATTTACTTAAAAAATTCGAAAATTTTTATTTACTTCGAAAAAGAAAAAAGAAAAGAAATATAAGAAGGATAAGAAAAAGCCTACTAATTATCAATTTTCTGCGTACTTAAAAAAAAACCCTTTAAAAAATTCAAAAATTTTTATTGAAGTAACTACTTTAAAAAAGAAAAGAAAAGAAATATAAGAAGAGCAGGGAAAAGTATCTATTAATTATCAATTTGCTGCGCATTTACTTAAAAAATTCGAAAATTTTTATTTACTTCGAAAAAGAAAAAAGAGAAGAAATATAAGAAGAATAAGAAAAAGTGTCTACAACTACTAATTATCAATTTGCTGCGTATTAACTTAAAAAAAAAACCTTAAAAAATTCGAAAATTTCTGAAGCAACTTTGAAAAAAGAAAAGAAAAGAAATATAAGAAGAGCAAGGAAAAGTGTCTACAACTACTAATTATCAATTTGCTGCGTATTAACTTAAAAAAAAACCTTTAAAAAATTCAAAAATTTTTATTAAAGTAACTACTTTAAAAAAGAAAAGAAAAGAAATATAAGAAGAGCAAGGAAAGGTCTCTACAACTATTAATTATCAATTTGCTGCGTATTAACTTAAAAAAAAAACCTTAAAAAATTCGAAAATTTCTGAAGCAACTTTGAAAAAAGAAAAGAGAAAAAATATAAGAAGAGCAAGAAAAAGTGCCTACAACTACTAATTATCAATTTGCTGCGTATTAACTTAAAAAAAAAAACCTTAAAAAATTCGAAAATTTCTGAAGCAACTTTGAAAAAAAGAAAAGAGAAAAAATGACTACTAATTATCAATTTGCTGCGCATTAACTTAAAAGAAAAAAACCCTCAAAAAATTCTAAAATTTCTATTGAAACAACTACTATTGAAAAACGAAAAGAGAAGAGAAGAAAAATATAAGAGGAGCAGGGAAAACTCGACGGAAAAGCGTCTGTCCCACGTCTCACGGGTGCACCGCGCGGCCGAAGGGTGGGTGTACGCGCGCGACGTATCCCGGAGGCGATCGCCTCTCTCCTCTCTCCTCTCCAGGTAAAGACAGCGGAGGAGGAGGAGGAGGAGGAGGAGAGGAGAGGCCGAGACGAGCAAGAACAGGAGAGAAGCTCTCCGGTTCGAGCAATTTGTATTCAGCGGCCCTGTTGTCGGGAAAGAGGAGAAGTGGCTATAAACAATGCGACGCACCACCAATACTTAGCTGGAATCACGGCACGCACACCGATATATATATATATATATATATATATACACATATACACATATACATATATATATATATATACACATATCCAAGATCGCGGTGGAACGATGAAAGAGAGGCGTAAAGGTAGGCACACCTAAGGAGGAAGGAAGAGAAGAGAGGAGAGGAGGAGAGCGAAGGGTGGCGAAGGGGGGTAAGGAGAGGTCGTATGACCGCGTGTGTGCACGCAGCACGAGGAAGGGAGCCGGGGCTAAAGGGACAGCCGACGGGGCAACTCCACCCATTCTTGCACCGGAAGCATATATCGCGCTTTCTGCATTCGATATGACCCGACGAAACCTTCGGTGAATTACGACCGTTCCGGTGTTACTGCTCCTCCATCCTGACCGGATGGATCCTCCAAGAGGCAGGAGAGAGTGTATGCCTCCCCGGGAGGACATCCCCTTTACAGTGGAAAGAACGTTGTCGATCGGGATGATAGGATGATAGGAGAGATGATAGGAGGAGTATACTACTGTTGTTCGACCTTTTCACAGAGCGTATATAGAAAGGTTGTTGTTGTGGGTTAGGTTAGGTTAGGTTAGGTTAAGTGTTCTTAAGTGTTCTTTTTCAGATTAGATATGAAATAGCGAGTTGATTTTTGTTATTTTCGAGTGAAGGGTTCGATCGATAGCCTGGAATCTGTTTATTGGAGAGTTATTTAAAGGGGGGAGAGGTGAGTTATAAGAGTTGTTGCGATTTTTATTCAATTTTTATCTGCATTTTCGAGGGAAAATGAGTTTAATGTTCGTAAGCTAACGACCGGATTTCTAAATAATGATTCAGAGTTTAAATTACAAGGTTACGTTAGTAGTTGGCTGGATTAGTTTAATACGATGCAGTTGCTGACGTGAAATCGTGTCATTTTTATATAAGATAGGATTAAATTATTGCAACATTATTTATGGATACAATCGTAGATAGATTTTTTTATAAATAACAAAAAAAATTCTTCGAGCAGCTTTCACAGAGGAATAAAAATTGAAATTTGAAATTCAATTTCAATATTTGTATAACTAGTTATATTTGTACATCTTTCGATACAAAATAAATATTTAATCAATTTAGCCTTATAACAGTTATTTATCAGAATATTTGATTAACTGTAACTATAATGAATATAACAATGTATTATTACGAATCTTTGACCAAATTTTTATCTTTTTGAAGGAGAAATTTTTTCTTTTCTTTTTTTTTTTTTTTTTTTAAATTAACCATCGACAACATTTTATCAATAATTAATGGATGGAAACATAATTCCCGAGATTTTTTGTTTAATATCGAAAGGTTAAGGCGCAACCCATTGTTTTCGAAAGAATTACATGTGCAGAATTGTTTTTGACATGGAAATATACATTTTCAACGAGTCGCCGGCCGTCCGATAAGGCACAAAGTTAGTTCAATGCGGGACGTGACGATTAAGCATCGTCGTTGTTTGAGTTATCCGTCACGAGCAGCAAAATAACTTTGGCAACGCGATCTTTACGCTTTGACTCGCTTTGACCGATTGAATTACGCTCGAATACAGTTTATTCGATTCCCTCGTGGCTATCGATACGGAGCTGGAGAATATCGGGGGTGTCCATTGAAATTGTTCCATAATAATTAATTTATAAAATATCGAACGATAATCTACTAAATTATCTCTCGAAAAATGGAAATTTATATTCCTCTGTAATATATTATCCTAATTAATTACTCTTTTCTTTATTATTCAATCTTCAATAATAATCGTTAATTAATAAAAATTCTAGTAGAATCTAGTAGAAACAATTGATTTAGAACGATAACTTCGTGATGATAATTGTAACACTTTAAGGAAGGAAATCTTCAATAATAATCGTTAATTAATCGAATAAAATTCAAGTAGAATCTAGTAGAAACAATTGATTTAGAACGATAACTCCGTGATAATTATATAATTGTAACACCTTAAGGAAGGAAATCTTCAATAATAATCGTTAATTAATCGAATAAAATTCAAGTAGAATCTAGTAGAAACAATTGATTTAGAACGATAACTCCGTGATAATTATATAATTGAAACATTTTAAGGAGGGAAATTTAAATTTGTTGAAGAACAAATTTGGTAGAAAAAAAAAAAAAAAAAGAAATTAACAAGGATTCTTCTCTTCCTTCGAATGGAAGAGAAGAAAAGACTACTAAATATGAGGAAGGTACTCACCTCTGAGGTTTCTCATATGGGCGACCGCCATCCTGAGTATGGTCAATTTGTCCGGTTTCCTGGCCAGGGCTGAACACGTCGGCACCATGTCGGACAATTCGGTGATATAGGCGGTCATTTTGTTCCGCCGCCGCCGCTCAATTTCGCAATGATTCTCCCTGCAGTAAGTCGCAAGACGAAACCAAGGTAATTGCATAGTTCGATGAATTATAGATGGGGATTATTGGCGAACGAATGTTAATATGAAATTCATCGATTCTTCTTCTTCTTTTTTTTTTTTTTTTTCCGTGGAAAAAATGCGTTCTGAATTTGAATGAATGTTAATATCAACGTTAAAACTATACTGATTTCAAAAGAATAACAATTGGATAAAGTAATTCTAAATAGTTGAAATGAATTGTTCAAAGAATTTCATATTTATCAGATTGATATAAGTAACAACATATATTGAAATTCATTTATGATCATTAAAAATGACTATAAACGATTTTCTCTTCCTACATTTCATTTTTTCTCATCGATTTATAAGCTTCTTTATCTAAATTTTATTAAAAAAAAAAGAATAAAGAAAAAGATTTAAAAATTGTTTCATTCATTGTACAATTATTATTGCTTAATAAATCGTCAACAATCGTTCTAAATATTACATATTTATAATATTATATAATATTATTTTTAATATATAATTTAATAATTATAATTTTATAATATTATATGTTTTTGACGATAGGAGGCATTAACGTTTTACTTTAAAATTTAACATTAAAAAAAAAAGAATAAAGAAAGAGATTTAAAAATTGTTTCATTCGTACAATTATTATTGCTTAATAAACCGTCAACAATCGTTCTAAATATTACATATTTATAATATTATATAATATTATTTTTAATATATAATTTAATAATTATAATTTTATAATATTATATGTTTTTGACGATAGGAGGCATTAACGTTTTACTGTTTTCAAAAAATACGTATTTCAATTTAAAAGAATCTCACCACAGGCATATTCAGTTTCAAACGAATATTTATCGGCAAACAGTTCTCAAAATCGTCTATAAACACGATATTATCCCCGGTATCCCTAACCTGTGTGATCCTTGAGGGATCGTTTATCCGTTTGGTAAAGGAAACTTGACCGTGATTATGGAAGTGCACGGCGCCAATCTTGTGCGTGGTTCATTTCCATAATTCAGAGACACGAAATACACGAATATCTCGCCTGCATTATGAGGCATTTTTTTTTTTTTTTTTTTTTATAGGCTGTATGGATAACAGCTAGACGAATCATCGGGGTTGGATGATCGAAGAGGCTGAATGTTGTAAGTAGACTTATCGATAGATCCAACTGTAAGGGATCTGAAGATTTAAGAATTACGTCTAATTTGGTATTTTTTATTCGTAGGATAATTTGTAGGATTTGTTTCTTTTCTTTTAGATTCTTGTGTGTGACTTCGAAATTGACCGATTTAAAGATTAAAAAAATTTAATATTCAAGGAAACACGTATTTTTAAATTATTTATTTAAAAAATCGTTTAGAGGATATCTAAAAGATCGATTAAAATCGTTTTAAAGAAATTCGTATAATCTCAATAGGATATAACAATTTGATAATTAAATACTCGAGAAATCTTTATTTACCTGATTCTCAAACTATTGGATTAAACGAATCTCAAAGAATATAAAAAAAAAAAATACTCAAGGAAATTGTCCAAAAATTCTGGAAAAATTTTCTACCCACTTCTAAACTCGTTAACTTGACAAACAACGATCCACCTTCGAGCCTGAATTATGAGTTAGAAAAATATATTTTTCTACGTAAAATATAAGTCAATAAAAATACAAACGCGTATATGTTTGGCGAGGAAGTTAAAATACCAAAGAAAATTATTTATCCTTAACCGTTAAATGTAAGGTGACAAACTTTTCCCAAAACTCCATTTGTCTCATAATGAAAAATACATAACATAGAAAAATATATGTAACGCGTTAAGAAAACTGCTTATCCACGAATGGGACCAACCACGTCCCATTGATAAGCGTGTTTGTGATCAACGCGGCCAATAAATCCTGACACGATCCACCTATCGAGAAAAAAGGGGTATCGGGTGAAACCACAATTTCAGACCTCCCCTGTTATTACCGCTACCAAAGGGTAACCGGCGCGCGCGTCTTCCTCTCCGCTTTCTATGGTAATTGTCGGCCAGCAATCGTAAATTTAATGGCATTTAATTCCTGATAATTTTCAGTCGAACGTATGTCATGCATCTTAGAAAAACACACGTGAACGAGGATCAGAGCGAAATATTATCTCTTTCCACGTTAAACGTACTTTTGTTAAATATAATTCTTTTGTTAAATGATCGTCGATAACCTTCTTTGTTTAGGATGGGCGTTGAATATCGTAGAGCAATCGAGCCATCTTTTTCTAGAGAAATACGTTTTACGAAAGTTAATTAAAGAGAAGAGATACAAGAGATACTTCTTATTTCGAAATCCAAGAATGGAAAGAAATAAAAAGAAATTTGGGAAAATGAGAATTAAAAATCTATCGATACTTATCCATTTATCAATCACTCACGATTAAAAATTAAAAGAATAGAATTTGAAAGAAATTTTTCGACACATTATCGAATACCACTCTTATTAAATATATAAGGTATATTTGAAACAGATGAATGAAACTCGTTTATTTTCTAGAGCTGGGTGTATCCGGGTGTGTTTCTTTCTTGGGTATAAGGGCTACAGAACTTCCTTTCCTGTTTACTACCGAGATAAGACCCTCCATCTCGTTTCAGGTCCATCAGGAACTATTATCTCATGCTTATTCCACTCAAGATGCGATCATTTCCCATCCGATTTCTTCCTTTTTCCTGTATCCAATGTGATTGGAGTTAATATTTATCGCCTGGTTGATTTTATTCTGTTATAATTCAAGGAAAACTGAATTTTCTTTATTCTGAAATAAATGCAGGAAACGATATATACATATATTGTTTATCCTCCTAATTTTTTTCTTTACAAATTTTTGAGCTCGATTAATCATAATATATATTGCTAGAATACAATTTTTATTTTGTTAAATTGAAATTAAAATTCAAATTAAAAAAATTGTATGTAATTTGTAACACTTGCCTTATCTTTTTCCTATACTCATTTTTATTTTATTCTTTTGTCTCGCGTATTATTCAAAATCTTTTTCGCGTTTGAAGATATTCCTAATTTCGAGGATAATAAGTTATACTTTCCTTTTTATACTTTGTTTTATTATTATCACTGTCATTGAGTATTTTCTTTTTTAATGGACTAGTTTGTTTTTAGACTCAGGTTTTGGACTCTAAGGTAAAATATTGCCGTAGTTGACGCGAGGCTGATGTGTTCGTGAGCATTGACCTCTTGTTAAGTTCCGCGTCTAGGACGTCCACCCCGTCTCAAACACCGCCGCGACCCCGTGTGGGAAAAATTGTGTTCTCCACTTTGCTTCGCGTGGAAAAGCCTGTTTCGAGTCGGTAAAATCACAGGATAATTAATAGAAGAATAAAACTTGCATCTCTCGAGACACCAATCAAATTAGAGACACAAATTAGAGACACAAATCAGAATTAGATTACGAGCACGATATTTGATTATCTTCGAAATTTTCCAAAAATTCCCCCCAACGTACGTCCCATAAATTCTTTCCAAATCGTCATCTTTCTCAACGATATCCACATTTTTACCTAAAAAAAAAAAAAAAAACCAAAGTTCAAACATCTCACGAATCCAAAATCTCTCTTCATCCCCTTTCAAAAGAAAAATTCCAATTTAAAATACCAGACTCTTCCTTTTTATCCAACCCTCTCTTCCCCTCGCAATATTTCCCCAAAAAACGAGATCGTCACACGCCTCTCGATGGCCCACGAGGCTTCCGCCTCGCAAGTCCTCTCTCTTTCTCCTCTTGGAAATCGGCGACGCGGGGCCCCGACGTGGCCGACTATTTAAAAGAGGCCAGGGCGCCTTAAAGCGCAAGTATAAAGCGGGGTATGTACCGCGGTAGAGGAGTCGCGGGGAGGGGAAAGGGGGGCGGAAGAGGAACGCGATCCAACGAGAGCAGGACGGAGAGAACCTCCTGGGTCAAGGGTCAGACGTTCCGAAGTTGCCCGCTCGCTCCGTGGGTCCAGCGAACGCTATACAGGGTGCTCCCTTATACTTCGGTTTTATCATGGGATTCTTTCCGAGATTCTTTCCTTTTTTTTTTTTTTTTTTTTTCTAAAAATTATCATCGAACGTATGAATAATTTAATCGAATGGGATAATTCGTTAATAAACAGGTTTTAACGTATGTATTTAACGTATGGAGTTATATTATCGTGAAATAAATTGTTCTTCCTCTTCGACTATTTTTTCGGGTATTAAAAGGATTTATTTAAGATTATTTTTTTTTATTTAAGATATTGAATGAGTTATTAAATAATGCAAGCGATAATGTATTTGAATTTGTGGGATAAATTGATAGATTATTTTTTAGGTTGATTTTAACGAAAAAGATTTAGTATATATATATATTCGGAAAAAACGAGGTTACGCATCATCGTCAGATTTATTTGATGCATTCTCTAGAATTTGAATTATTATTACTTTTCTAACCGATGTTTATAATTTAATTAATAATAATATTAAATTTTTATATATATTATTTTAATTTCTATATATGTTTATAATTTAATAATATTAAAAATATTAAATTATTATTAATGTAGTTAATAATTGTTTCCTATGTTTCCTTCGTTGAATGGAATTTATTTGAAATCAAGAATAAAATAGAATTACCTTTAACCAAATAATAATCCTATTGATTCCTATGAATATGTACTTTCATTTCACGATTCGCGGCAAGATATTCATCTTTCCGAAGCACACGAGTAGGAAAGAAACCGTCCACCCCGTATATCGATTTCTGCATTACGATGATACAAAGTCGGTACTGAAATGCACGTACCGCACACATAAAATCGTTCCAAGGGGGGAAAAAACGAGTTCCTCGACACACGCGAGGATACGTACACGTAGATCCACGTGTACCGCACGTAGATAGCAAAAGGAGATCGCGGGGAGATCTCGGCCGAGTCGTCGTCGTCGTCGTCATCGATACGCTCGGTATTACGAGGCAATCCTAT